GGTCTGCATCCCCACTCAGCCCTGGTTACTTACTCCTCTGTGAAATGGGGCAAGAATTCCTGTGTCACAAAGATGAAAGGGGAGCGAGGGAGATGCCATCGGTGGCTTTGTTTTGTAAACTCTCAGAATAAGTACCTGTAAGGCTGTCAGCATTATCTTGGAGCTTCCCGGTCCGGTTCCTGCAGCCTCGTCCTCAGCCGCCCCCCAACCTCCTCCCCACACCACTGCCCCAGGACTGACTGACGCCCCAGGACTGACTGACGCCCCGGGCGGGGAGCGCAGTGCTGTCCACGGACACGCAAGCGCAGCAGCCGGGTGTCAGCTCACCTGTGTGAACGTCGGAAGGGCCCTTCCTTACCCTTAACAAAAGCTTTAAGTGCATTTCCGTACATTCTTATTCGTATCTTATGAGGTGGGTGTAATTGTCCCCAATTTACAGATGAGAAAGCCGAAGGAAGTGAGATTTTATGGAAAGAAGAGGCCAAGCTTCGAATCCGTAACATTTGGCCAAATCGGCTGAGCCTTGGTTTCCCCAGCTATAAAATGGGTGAGCGCCGTGCTCACTCAGTTTGACGGGGGTGCAGCAAGACTGCCTGGTGTGGGCTGGGGCACGGGGGCGCCGGGGTCCACCTCACAGCTGCTGGAAGGAGACTCTGGAGCTGCTCCAAACATGCCCGTGGGTCAGGACGGTGCCCTCATTCCTGTGCCTTCCAGGGAAAGCCCTCTCTCACACCCCATTCATTGCTTCAGTAGTTTTTTGAGCACCTGCTATATACCAGGTTCCAGGAGCAGCAAAGAAACATAAAACACTCTAAGATGAATAAAACAGTGATAATTCTAAAGATAAAATGTTAAAGATTTAACAGTTATGGAGCCCTCGCCGTGCTAGGCCCAGGCGTTCATTCATGTAATCCGCACACACCCACAAAGGGATGTAGTAATGAGGAGGGACGCACAGAGCAGGACCTGGGAGGGACAGGAGAGTGTCGGAAAGAGACAGTAATTCAGCGGAGGAAGCAGAGCAAGGTGCTTCCTAGCGCACAGACAGCGATAGCAAGTGCAAAGGCACGGGGGTGGGGGGGTGTGT